GAGTACAGAAACTCTGCACATAAGAATTAGGGAATCACAGGTAGAAAATGGGGAATCATATGAAACTGTAACGTTACAAATACTATATAAGGTAATTTGGTCCTCCACAGGCCTCGTCTGGGAGCGGCACGGCCTGCAGTCTACCTGCCGCTTTCCCGACGAGAGGAATCGATTGGACATTCGGTGAAGTGCACGATTGGGGCTCACTCCTCGCCAAGGCACCGCCTGCACAAAATTATACACACGACCTCCGCTGCGTTGCGGTGCGCGCAATTTTGTGGGCGGATGCTCTGTCATCGCTCGCTGCTGTAACGCTAGGTCAATTCCCTTGTGTTTTGATACACGTGTGTGTCCCCCAGATTTCTACCTGTGATTCCCTAATTCTTGTGTGCACGAACATTTGACTCCCTCGCTGGGCGATGGCTTGGCTTCTATCAGCAATTTCCATTGCGTTACTTCTGTTGGCTTTGCAAAGACCAATGAATCACACCGACCGCAGGAGAAGCGGCAATACAGTCAAGATCATTTGGTCATCACGAACGCCCGAGTGATCTTGAATAGATTGCCGCTTAACGGCTGACGTTGCCTCTTTGGCACTGAAACTAGTGTGCAATCGACTAAGCCATTAACTCCAGAGCTAAACAGTCCAAGTCGTATGTCGCTTGAGAGTAGATGATTCGACGTAGTGACTGTATCGCTTAACTCAAGGAGGAGGTGAACTTTGCAACCGGGGTGTTGTGGTGGGCAACTTAATCCAAGTCCCGCCATGACCCAGGTGGTCCTCAACCGAGGCCACCGGGTGCCGACCCTTGGCGAACCGACACGAAAAGGCATATTATTACTAGTTGTATTACTAGTAGTACTAGGACGTAGAAAACTGAACACCTGTCCCAGCCAACTGCCGGAGTCTCACTCTTGGTTCTGCAACGCCGTGGTAACATCAAGTCAATCAGGTGTGCGGCTTGCAGGGAGTCGGCACTCCCCCATTTGGTTGTTTGTGTTGGCACTGGAGTGGGATACAACACAAAGTATACTCTAGTTGCAGTGACCTACGAACTGAGAGCACTGGCGAAGAACTCAAAAGATCGCGCCCAGAAGCCAAAGGAGGCGGCAACGGCACCGGCAGCTGCGAGCAGCGAAACTGAGGAGGAAGTACCAGTGACGAAGCCACAATTGGTTGTTGGAAGGACGACGGATGTGCTGCCGGCTGTGGAAGAGTCCAAAAGCGAAGAAGTCCGGAAGCCGATGGAAGACCTGGCCAGGATGAACAAGGCCATGGGTAGCGCGCGAGCGGCGTCCTTGACCTGGGACGAATCGTGGCGTCGATATGGTGGTCAAACCATAGGACCGAACTGGGAACAACTACCACGACACCCAATCGAAGGCGCCTATGTCGATGAAGACTACCCGCCGCTAGAGAAGTCCGAGCTGAGAAGCGAGCGGACGAAAAGGCGGAAGCTCGAGCTAAGTTACGTGCGGGACGACGGAATCGACCGGACAGTACTAGCAAAGCTGAGCGGCGGCGGATCAACAAAGCCAATCGTCCCCCAAAGGAAATGCGTGTCGACCGTGCCAAAATGGCGCGTGCGGCCCATGATCGACGGATGCTAGACACCACCCTACCAAGCAGCTCGGGATGGGGACCTCTTTCGAGCGGACCACCGACGCCAAGCAGCGGAGGGTGGGGACCCAACTTCAACTCCAGTGGACCTTCAATGGTGGTGACAGATGTTCAACCCCTCCGGATCACCTGTATGGGCAAAAATTACCAGGTCAGTTGGGTGAAGAAGCGGGAGACATATGAGGACAAGTTACGGGCGAATGCGCAACGCATGGGTGGCGAGTGGCGACGGAGTGCTGTGGGGTAGATTCCTTCCACTGACCGCAGCCTCCTGAAGGCTACATGCACCTAACTGTAAGTTTGGCGAGTGCCTGTGGAACAACTCAGTGAGGAAGACTACCGCGACCGCATTATGGAAATCGTCGGACAACCAGCGACCAAGTGGACACACTGTAGGGCGCTGAGTGTCGATCCCCATGGAGACTTGACCATGAACAATTATTTTTCAATACAAATGATAAGATTAAATATCGTTGGCTAGTTGGCTCAAATAAAATTATTTTGGATCTCGCACAACCAATTATTGTAATTGTCCAGCGCTTTGCAATAAATTATTTTCTGTATTTAATTGTCAAATATTTTTTCGTCAATTATTTTTTCCCATACCCTCTTTGCAACCCCTTGGGTGTATGACTGATAAGGCAATGACATCAGTAGAAATATCACGGAAAGCCTGAAAAATAATCTTGCGGCATACCATATCCCTTATCGTCGTGCGATATCCCATCAACTCGTATTTTTATTGTATTCTCAGATTTAAAAACTACATCGTATACTGAAAGCAAGATAGAATATGCTGCTGAATTTTCTGTCGCAATCATCCTTGGACAGAGGTATTAATAGTATAAAACTTTAATAGTATAAAACTAAGCCAATCGCTGATCTCTAAATTGGAAAAACTCTGAATATGAGTACTCGAAGCCAAACAAAACCAAGGTTAAAATAATACGTCATACTTCGACGTAATGCAGAATTCGTAACATGAAACAGAAGGTTTTAGTAGTCTCGCAAGGCGAGCCACCTTACGAATTCCATAAATCGATCTGAAAAAAGTCAAGTTTCATGGAATAAAGCTTCATCTTTGTATGGAACAATTTAAATTCCTTTAAGCGCATCTTATTGATTGATGAATTCGTAAGGCAGGCTGCCTTACCAAATTTCTGTTCAATTATATGAAAGAGAAGTGAAAATATCTGGCCAATCGGATCGTTCTATTCTCTTTGCTACTTGTGATCTACAGTAGTAGAATGAGATCCCTTGCTACTACCCGCACGCTAGAGCCTGGGCAGTGGGCATGCAGTATGACTTGGCCCTCGCCTTGTCGCAGCATAGGAAGTGCGCCCCGTTGTTCTTGGCGTTGTGGGCGCTCTGGTGGAAGTGCATTTAGGAACGGATTAAAATGACTTAAATAAACCGATTGGGTGTGGCGTGATGTCTGGGAAAGCATCTTACTGCATTACTAGTGTAAAAAGTGGAGACATCCTACTAGTTTTGCATCTTGGCATAAACCAAGTAATCACGTGGTCCAAGCTTGTCAACTACTGGTACTGAAGATATATTGTTTACAGCAATTGTTGTATCTCAACCACTTCAAAATCGATCGAAACCAAAACCTGGAATATTCAAAGGTAAAAGGCGAAGTAAGTGCCAACGAGCCACTCAAACTACCTAAACTCTCAGACCCGGTAAAGGGGTCGATACACTCTACCAATCCATTTGGTACTCCGACCACCAAAAGTACCGACCAATGGACGGCAATGAGCAGGTCTACCCCTTTCCGTCTCATTAATTCGAGCCGAAATCACTTCCCCCGCGAGTTACTTAACCTCGTAAGCGACGGCCATCTTCTTGATTACGGCAGACTTGGCACATACTGCTGCAGGTCAGCACCAGTCACGGGTGACGGCAGCTGTTGAAGCGCCTCAACACGGGCGGGGTCATGCTTGACCCCAGTGCCACTGATGATGCGCCCGCACCACCTGGCCTCGGTCACGTAGAAACTGCTCTTTTTCGGGTGCAGCTTCAGACCCTTGTCAGTGCACACAGCCAACACGTCCGCCAGCACACCCAACAATCCCTCGCGGGTACGATGGTACCTCAAGAGGTCGTCCAACCAGGCCAATGCCAACAGGCCCTTGTACAACTGCTCGGAGAACACCTCCTGCACCATCGACTGGCAGTACGACACGCTGTCGCTGCCACCGTGCATCACGCGGGTGGAGGAATAGACGCCGGTGTCGGTCAAAAAAGAGAAAATTTCCTGGCAGCTGGGGTCGAGGGCGAACTGCCAGTACCTCTTGAAGAAATCAAGGAGGAAAAAACACACAGCGTCACTCAAATGATCCACCACCACCTCCAACATGGGTATTGGCCAGGCGATCTGCTCAGTCTGGCTGTTGATCCAGGTCCACCGTCATCCGGAACTCATCCTTGGTGTGGGGTTTGCGTACGATCAGGGGGACCGAGGCCCACCGGCTGGCGGGGTTCCGGTAGACAAAACCGGCTGCCTCCAACTCCTTCACATGTTGCTGCATGAATTCTCGTTGTGGCAGGGAGTACCGACGGGCCTTGCATCTTATCGGCCGCGCCCCATTGGCCAAGTGCACCTTCAACAGCGGCATCTTGACGGGCGGGTCGCCGCCCAGACTCAAACGGAACACGTCGACGTACTTGTCGAGGACGCGGTCAACTCACTTCCGCAGCCGGCAGTCACTGCCTCGACCAGCTTCGCATCCAACCCCTCCTTGACCTTGGTGGTCTCAGCAGCGGTCTCGCCGGCCACCATGTCGGGGAAACATGAGACCATCTCCAGGGGCAACACCTCCTCCTCCTCCTCAGCCAAGTCATCCACGAGCTTGTGGGACACGGCCAGCACGGCCTGCACGACCCCGCTGTGCGAGACCGCGTCGGCCATGTCGATCGCATCGGTGAAAGACTCGGCCTCACGAGCATGACGCGTGAGTCGAAGCCCAACTTATACATGATGGCGCGGCTCAACAGGATGTCGCCGACGTTGGCAGGCAGGTCGCCCGTCGACACCCAGCACTTGACATTCGTAAGCATCAGAGGGCCGGCGTCCGTCTTGAACCGCAGGTCCATCGTTGCTTCCTCGGTGACGGTGTGGGCAGGGCCAACAAAACCCTTGACCTTAATAGGGGTGCCAGGGACTGCGATCCTGTGGACATGTCCAAGTTGGACGCCGCGATGGCCAAGCTCAAGATCGACACGACCGTGCAGTCGGCCGAGTCCCGGGTGTCAAAATTGGTCTCGGATTTCGAGGCGGTCCTCATACGCCTCTCAATGGAGGGGTTCGCGGAGGCCGAACCAAAACTAACTGTCGACTATCTCGTCGCGGCCGTCCAGTCACCAGTCGTGCGCGCCCGCTTCAAGGAACTCATGAAGTGAACGAGAACCGCACCCGGACGTGCGCGATTTCAAGCGCTGGCTGGCGGACTACATGCGTCGCTACGGCGAGTTCGAGCCGCTGATGGCCGCGGCGGTTCCCTCCACCGCCAAGCCCGACAAGTTGATCCCCCAAATCTGGAAAGGCCCCCGAGGTCGTGGCAGTCGTGAACGTCGACATGGAGAAGGTGCGTGTTTGAAGTGCCTGAGCACCAAGCACAATGTGTTCAAGTGCCCTAAGGTCGCTGACGGTGAAGCTAAGCTCCTAATGGAACGTGCCCATTCCATCTGGAAGGATATCAAGTCGGTAACTGTCGTCGAGACATGTCCCTCGACAATGCCGTGATGTGTGCTGAAAGGAAGAAAACCTTCCAGTCGTCGAAGGTCAGCTCGTGGCTGACCTTCCAGATCTCCCAGTAAGCGATGCGCTCGAACGAAAACGGGTCGATGCATGCGCTCAGCGGCGCGCGCTGGATCTGGGCACCACTGGGCGTTCGCGATGTTGACTTACGGGTGTACGTCTCATATTGGTCCATGAACTTGCGCATCTACACCTTGGTGCTGCCGTTGAACGTCGGGGCCTTGGGCACCTCTTGAAACCCACAGATGACTTGGACGCCCGCGACGGCGGGGGCAGTCGTGGGCGCTGCAACAGCCGGTACCAGGATCACCGAGAAGGTATGCCAACGGGCGCCAGCTGCTCGCCGTGCTTAACAGACACGGCGGCAGCTTGGTGCAAACTTTGCTCGTGAGGCTAAGTCTGCTTCTTCTGTGCGTGCAGCTGCTCGACGAGGACTTCTTGTCCTCTAGCTCAGCCATCAGCCGATTGTTCATTTCCATTTGCTGCTGCGAATGCAGAAATCTCCTCGTAGGTATGTCGCGTCTGGGCGCGGACAGCATTCTGCACGTCGTCCAGACGCGCGGATTGTTCGTGGACAGCTGCCTGCACTTGATTGCCCAGGTGCTGACCCAACCGCTGCACGGCAGCGATTTCCGGGAGGTAGGCCGCGTACGGCAACGCACCAGCTGGAAGCGTTGACGGCAACGACATCGTGGGTGCGTATTGCATCTCTTGAGAGATGGTGCGTCGGAGGACATGATCAGCCGTTCCGGGTGGAGACGATATTCACTCGGGGGTATGTTAATCACAGAGCACGAACAGCCGCTGCGTATGGGTAAAATGTAGATCGCTGCAAACGAGAAAAATCATACACGAGTAGATGCACACAAACTTGTGGGCAACAGGAGACTTTGACTAAAGAAATCTCAACCACTTCAAAACTGATCGAAACCAAACGTTGGAATATTCAAAGGTAAAAGGAGAAGTAAGTGCCAACGAGCCACTCAAACACCTAAACTCTCAGACCCGATAAAGGGGTCGATGCACACTACCAATTCATATGGTACTCCGACTACCAAAAGTACCGACTAATGGACTGCAAGGAGCAGGCGCCGCAGGTCTACTCCTTTCCGTCTCAGTAATTTGAGCCGAATACATCAGCAATTGACTCGTCGATCTTCTAAAGCGACTTCCTGGATTTCCTATTCCACGTGGACTATGTACCAGTATACCATGACGAGAACCCTGTTACGCATGTTTTACACTGTTAGTTGAAACTATTGCCCAAAGCCTAATGAATGGACCACTGCACATCGCGGACAAAGGACCTGATTTGGTCAAACCTTCGGTGATATGCCCCGATAATATGATTCTTACTGACGGTAGTTCTACCCATAACTTTCTTATTTTGACATGGAGCCTTGGGTGTTGGCCCCAGTCGACCGAAACCATGAAGTAGTACTGTGTTGGTAGTGAGGCTGCTCGTCCTTCCTAACGAGAAATTCGCATCGACCATTCGCCATTCGATGTCGACTTCATCGGGTAGAGTTTACAAAACGAGGACTAAACACTAAGGAAAAATGATAGTGAGTATACTCGAGAGTGCGATGAACTGCTGACATGAGTATTAAGCTGATGCTGGCACGAGTGTTTGAGTCGCTGCGATCTTGGCATTTTTGAAATCGATAAAAATCATCTTCATGACCAATTATGTGGTAATGAAACCATGATGCACTCTGATTGGTTTATAATCAGAAGTAAGGCCTAACGTTCTCTAAAAAGAATACGGTAATACTACAGTACCGGAATGTCGATTCGGTAACTAGGGAAATTTGACGGAAGTTCACAATATTACGCAGATTTCACAAACCTTAGTTTCATTTTAAACACATCCCATCCTTCAATACCCGATAAATTTGCAACCAACCTTGAAATTTTGTCGCAGTGGTATCAAACTTGGTGGAATTTGTGGCTGTCTGTATCCGCGTAGGTCTTTTGACCCCGCCACACCAAGATGTCGAATGACCTGGGCGGCGATACGCAAGCACGCAAATGGTGGAGCGACTCTGACGACTTGAGTATGCTTACACAAGTAAACAACGGTCTTCAGTTCAAGCAAGTCAAGAACACCACAAAAGCATGTGGACGCCCTTGCTGCCAAGCTGTTGGAAGTGTGCATCCCGAGTCGATAGAATGACGCGATTCAGCGATGAGGCGCATGGCGTTGGCTCAAAGGTGAGGTGCACAGGGCGATGTTGTTGGCAAATCTGTCTGATGCATATTTTCTTCAACTGTCAACGCAGCACGAACACCGCGCCATTGACTTTATAATAGAGTATTGTGCGGCAGTGGGAGACGCATGAGATGTTTCTTTCTGGTCGACAAGGAGTGATTTAAGCGGAATCACACCCAACGTGACTTTCAAAACAAGTCATTCATTCATCAGACATGTTAAGGCGCTGCTGCAGAAACGCCTGCGTGTACAGTCGTTTCTGCAACAGCGTCTGATCAAAAGTCTGCTCAAGGGTATAGCCATGATGCACTTAAACGCGGGCTCTCTCATCGACATCTACAGGTTGAAATGTTACATCTGTATTTCGAACGATATCAACGCTCTGCAAATAACGGGATCGTCGCACTACACTACCCGCAATTCAACTGGTGGATATGACGTTTTCATGGGGACGATAGTTATGGAATTCGTAGGGAGATTCCATACGATTTCATTTTTAACCAATGAAAACACTCCTGTACAATGGTTGGATAATTCAATCGCAAATCCATGTTCATCATGAATCATTATTAATGACGAAGCAATGCAGGCAGCATGATACGAGTTCAATTATACGACGATGAAATATCGTAGTCACATAGTACGGTAGTATTCTCGACATCAATGTTGACTGTAAACACCCATGCCGTCACCAAGACCTTGCCCGCTAAGGGCGTCATCTATTGTCGAACGACTCCAACGTGCCTCTACATGGAGTAATGCATCGCCATAGTAACATTAACTACGTTAAGTTCCTCAATGTAAACATCCAATGACATGATATTAACGATGATACTCCTGAAGTAGAATACTAGTAGACTTCTTGTTCATTGACTACATTTCTAGTTGGGACGTGTTCAGTGCCGATTTATGCAATAAATGATGGATACGGATCGGTGAGATCATTTAGTGGGTAACAGTCAAAATTGATCAGTGGATTGATCATTTGGTCGATCGTATGCATCATATGACTTTTTAATTGGGTGTTAGTAAAAGAACCAAACAACGGCTTGGCATGTGGCTCAACGGTTCGAGCGACGGCATCAAACGATAGAGGAAGGGGTCCGGGGTTCAATGCCGGGTTGTGATTAGTCTTTTTCCCAAGTGCAGATTTTTTTAGCATGAATTTATCTAAAAATGAAAAGCTATGCAGTTTGTACGTACTACGTGGTATCACGTATATGGTAGTATCTTCACCTAGAAGAGCGATCATCGCCTGTTGATTGGGGGCGGCATGCCGTCGAATCTTCTCGCGCGTCGTGTTCGATATTGATTGCGAGTCCGGCGCCGCGACATTTTCGCAGACATACTACTGTAGCGTGCTATTACACCCTGGTAGTAGATGGCGTCATCCCCGCGAAGTGGCATCCACGTCATGTGAGCGTTCGTCAGTGCACAGTCTTGAGATGCTGTCGAATTTTGACTCGTTCCACTTGTAGGTCGTCGAGATGATCTTCCACAAAGAGCACATGCACCAAAGTAGTTCTCGACCAGAACACGGTCCGAGGGCACCCTCGAGTTGCGCTCCAATTCGCGAGGGGTCACACAGCCACCTTGAGGCCTGCGCTTTGGTTGGATCGAGCGGAACTCATGCTGGATACCTTGATATCCCATGTCGACAAGAACACCCAACGTGTTGGCCAGCGATCTACACCCATGTCGTTGTCCGGCATGTCGAGATCGCTGTCCGACTTCTTGAGCATGACTTAATGCACATCCTTACGCCGCATGAACATCGTGATATCCGAGACCGACCCAGGGCAATGTTCAAACAAGTCGACTGCGACACCGTGGTATGCAACAGAGCATTCGAGCTTGAGTCCATAGAGCTTGTGCTTCGCTTCATCAAATCGGCCGGGACGGTACGAGGGCTAAAACTTGACGTCTGTAGCGTGGTAATGGCCAAAGATTGTGCCTTGGCAACTTATTGGGTCATGGACAGAAGATTGACGTAGTGATCGTACAACACCACCGGCTCGACCAGGCCAATGACACGGTGGGTCATCTTCTCAAACATTGGAGCCTTCATCTCAAAGTCTAAGACGTGCTTGTCCTACGCGTTGTAGTGCTTGAAAACGACGAGGGTCATGAAGAAGGCGTCCGTCCACGTCTTCACCATAGCCAATACCACAACCGCCCAAATTGACTCAAACTCAGAGAGCGTGAGGTTCTTCATAGTTGTGAGAGATGTGTTGTCCCCTTGCAAATAGAAGCGGTCCATGACGGGCGTTGGCGAGTCGTTAGTATCCTCGACTTGGTGCGTGTACTCGCGATATACCTGACTCATCTCTTCGAGATCGATGTTTTCGTCCTCAATGTCCTGTTGGAGTCGGTTGACAACAGCGAAGGGGTTGATGGGAATAAATGGATTTTGATTAAGACAGATGTGCATTGGTGTCGTGTTATGCAGACTCGTAGCAAGGCATGCAGTTTTGTAGAAGTGTGGCATACAAATATATACAGTGAAACTTCCAATTTTACAGTTCGATTGCTTTTGCAGCCAATCATCGCGACATTGAAGTAATATTATTGCAGGTTATAAAAAAATACAGCTGGATGAGCTTGGAAAATTAGACTAGTCCAACATGCTCAAAATCCGATCTTACAAGACATCGATATTACTAAGATCAAGTTTAGTTTTTCTAAAATTATATAATACTCACAATTATATTCGATCAAGATTGTTGGTTGTGACATCGCCAACAAGGGTAAATCATTCTCTGTTCATTTACTCCTCAATAGATGGTAGAGCTTTCACAAAGCTGTTGCGAATCTCGGTAGCCGTCACTTGGTCCTACGCGGCGATGACACGCTTCGCCATCGCTTTCCTCTTCTCAGCGTCCTCCCCATCGATCATCTCCTCGGTGAGCCACTCGTCCCAAAGGTAACGCTTCAATGGAGCCATCACACTTACATCCAGTGGCTGACAGATGGACGTAGCATTGGGGGGAATTGCGCACAGGAAGATGCCGAGCTCTTCTTCGACAATGCGAAACGAGGCATCATTCACATTCGACTTAAAGTTCTCGAGAAAGATTACCGACGGCTCGACAAGACTTCGGTGCAACAGGTCACGCAGGTACGACTTCCACACGGTGTTATCCATCCATGCCTTACCCTGAACGGCATAGAAGTGACCGCTTGGGTACGTTGGCAGCTCCGACGTTTTGATGCGACGGCCGGGGGTGCCGCGGATAATGAAAAGGACCGGGAGCCTGTCTCCGCTCGAGCGGACGGTGAGTACAGCAGTCATACGCATTGAGTGTTTCTCGCCAGTTGATATCTTCGTGTCGCCACCACGAGCAGACCAGATGTACTTGATCGGCATATCATTCCGGACTCATCCACATTGTAGACGCAATTGAAACCAAAGCGTGGAACTGCCGGTGGAACTAAGCAGCGAAATCATCACGCACTTCGATCAGGACGGATTGTTTGTGCTTTGTTTACCGGGTCGTTGACGTGTAAATCTATGGCGGTGACAAAAGCGCTGCAGTCTTTGGTACCCGTTGCCGAGCTTCTTGCGTGCGATGTAGGGCCGCAGCCAAACCGCCTGGTGCCTCTTGATCCAGTTGATGATATGCGACGTTGTTAGCACCCGTTCTTGGGTTTCTACTTGTTAATATAGTCAACGAGACCCTCGGGATCGGGAAATTCGTCAGGACGCCCACTTGGATCGACTTTTATTCGTTTTTGTTTCCGTTGTAAGCAAGGATGTCGCGCTTATGTTTGACTACGTACAGATGGTGCGACGTGGAATGCTTAGCATGTCAGACACTTGTTGGTCGGTGCTTGTTTCCAAAAGATCTAGCACCTTCAGCTTCGTTGCGATGGTGTAGCTACGCTTTGGAATGCGCATTCTTGACTGCATATCAAATGAAGACCTGAGGTACGGGGAAATTCAAAAAGAAGTGCAGGAGGGAAAATATTTTTTCTTGCCAATCAAATGTATGGATTCTCAATCTCGACTTCTATTGGACAAAATATGGCTGCTGTTTCACAAACTTCGATTGGCGTACTATTCAGTCGTTCTCTTGAAACGTAATAATTCGATTATGAATTGAAAGCTGTGTTAACAGTAAGAATCACTTCGCAAAATGTGAGAAGTCGTCCTGTGAGCCGAGATATGCGAATTCTACGGCGACTACTCTGAAAAAGTGATCATAAATTGGTCATTTACGTTAGTATAACTTGTGTGCTGCTGCTACAGTACATACCGGGTACATAATGTAATACAGTATACCGGGTACATAATGCTAGTATCAATGTCAGTACACTGTGACTCCTCCCAGTCCCTTCGATACTGGGGAATGTGAGGCGTCATAGTGGTACTGACTGTACGATCGAGAATTGGTCAATTCAACTCGTGATTTTCTTGAAATCTCATTGGATAAGAAAATCTTACAACCAACTCCTTACGATTTCGTCAATTCACAAATGAAAAGCGATATTTTATGATTGCTACAAAATTCGTACATAACTAAACTTGGGAAAAAAAATGAATTGGAGGATTTCAAAATATCGTAGAGGTGTGGGCCAACGATTGCATACAAAAGTCAAGTTTCAAGTTCTGGCCTATGAATTCCATAGAATGTAGTACAGTGAACTGGGAAAGAACTCGACACAGTAGTACGCGAAAAAAAATTAAAATCTTGTCCACTTCCAGAAACGTAAAAAATATATGTATATTTATGTATATCTATATACTTTAAATCGTCGAAACTGATTTGCACTTTTCTAAATGAACAAGAGATCTAGCATACGCATTTGCGTGCACTTGAATTGTTGAAGAACGGAGGGAAATTTGGAGAATGGACGATAGGCCACTATCAACAGCTTGACCCGTATATAGTTCAATACGCGCTTCATCACTCGCAAGTCTTAATAACATATATATACTTACGGGACCTGTGTGTATGTTGCCCATACAAGAATTTCCAAAATGACTTGATTCGCTACGCACCCAGCTCGACTGTCAACAGGTCACTTTAACTCTTCCATAACGATCGCTCCTTCCTTCTACGTCTAGTACAACTTGTGTATATGTACTGCTGCTACATACCGGGTACATAATGCTATCAATGCCAGTACCACTTTGACGCCTCCCATTCCCCTTCGATATAGGGGAATGTGAGGCGTCATAGTGGTACTGACTGTACGATCGAGAATTGGTCAATTCGACTCGTGATTTTCTTGAAATCTCATTGGATTAGAAAATCTTAGAACCAACTCCTTACGAATTCACATATGAAAAGCGAAATTTTATGTTTGCTACAAATTCGTACATAACTTGGGAAAAAAAATGAATTGGAGGATTTCAAAATATCGTAGAGGTGTGGGCCTACGATTGCATACAAAAGTCAAGTTTCAAGTTCTGGCCTACGAATTCCATAGAATGCAAGTTCGTATGTGGAGCATCATTCGAAACACAGATGAACTGAGTATGCCTTTGAGTATGTATTCATAGAATTTTGAACTATGGTTACAAGTTAATACAAAACGAGTCACATCTTGACGTGGAATGAACGAATAACAGTAACACTCGTCTATCACGCTATCAATAACCAGAATGGATATATTCGCACCTTTACTACCGATTGTACCACGCCAAGATCTCCCGACTTCAAAAAGATGTACCGTTCACGAACAGATGCCATAGTAACTTTGGCAATTCGAATGTTGCAGTTCTTCAAACTCAACGAACGGAGAATCCCAACGAGTCACTTTTGAATTTGCATCCTTCCACCATGAAATTGTACGCCGCGTTCGTCGTTGCGTCCGCCGCAGCCACCAATCAGGCCACCAATCAGTACGTGACCACGTTATCCGCTGACGAACTCTCGCAACTGAGCGCGGAACTGGCCCAGTGGCGCCAGGACTTTGGTGCTGCCGCTACGGCCCAAGGTCTGCTGCCCCCCGCTGTGGAAAGCCAGAGCCCGTTGGAGGCGGAAACCGACGCGCTCCAGAGATTCTTCGACAACAAGGTTGCCATTGAGATCGCCCGTCGCACCAACCCCAACGCCACGTTCGACAACGACCACCCATTTGCACTGATGACAGACGCCGAGTTCAAGAACCACGTAGGCCTGTCGTTCGAGGAAGGTTACAGCGCCTTCCGGTCTCTCCGCACCGCCGACTTAGACGTCTTCGCACCGCGAGCGACGTCCATGGACTGGACCACCAGCAAGTGCGTCAACCCCGTGCGCAACCAAGGCAAGTGCGCGGGGTGCTGGTTGTTCTCGGCTGTGGGTACTGCCGAGTCGGCCCACTGCCTCGCCACGGGGGAACTCATCGACTTGTCTGAGCAACAAGTGACCAGCTGCTCCACGAACGGTGGCGGCCAAGGCTGCCAAGGCGGCTGGCCGCACGCAGCCCTTGACTACCTCTCCAGTGGCGGGGGGTGCCTGGAGCAAGACTATCCGTACACGTCCGGCAGCTCTGGTCAAAGCGGCACATGCCAGAACTCGTGCTCCAAGAAGAAGCTCAGCTTTGGCGCGACCGTGCGGGTGTCTGGCGAGGCGGCGCTGGTCACGGCGCTGAACACCCAGCCCGTGTCGGTGCTTGTCGAAGGGGGCAACTCCGTGTGGCGAAACTACCGAGGGGGCGTCATCACGCAATGCCCGGGAGCACGGTCGGACCACGCCGTCGTTGCCGTGGGCTACGACAGCTCGTCCTACAAGATCCGCAACTCGTGGGGCGCCAGCTGGGGCGAAGCCGGCTACGTTCGTCTGCAACGCGGTGGGGGTGGCAAGGGCACATGCAACGTCGTCGAGGGGGTGTCGTTCCCCACCATAATCGCCCCCAAGCCAACCGTCTCGCCGCCCACGAAGACCACCACCAAACCAACCAAGCCAACCGTCTCGCCGTCCTCAAAAACCACAAACATGCCTACCCCACAGGCGGGCTGCGCAACGTGTAGCCGCTGCTATTACCCCGCTGCAAACTCGTGCTTGGACAGTGTCTTCACCAAGGGCTACTGTGAGTACTTTAATCATGGCTTCGGCACTGTGTGGTGCGGCAGCTAAGTTTGGACCGTTGGCCTTGCTTTGGCCTTGTTGAGCATGTGAATACGTTGTGTTGTAGTGAGGGTTAATCAAATTAAAACGTAACAGTGCATACTAGTATTAAACACGTAGTGTACCTCTGAACATGGCTTGAGGGGCTGCTACTTCCATGTCTTGGATCGACTTTAACCGTGCATGATCTTCCATCCGCACCCACACCTCTAGAGAGGAACATATGCACACTTGCGCGCAGTGCAGCGCGTAGCATTATTGACCAGAAAGTAATGCCAACGTAGCATGACAAGGTGTGAATATGCATATTGCCCAGTCACACGGGACAAGACTAGGATGCCGCTATCGCGTGCATATTGCATTTTACAGTACTTCAGCTGTGAAAGTACCTTATCGTCGCTGTACCTAGCATTCGACTTTCACAGCGGGTGGATGCATGCAACAATGCAGTAGTGTCATTTCACCCATCCCACGACAATTTACCGAGCCAAGAGCGACAGGTACAACACTATTCATTTCCCCTGCTTACCCGTCATGTGAATTGCCTTCGCCGTTGCTGGTCTTCTCGTGTCCATTGCGTCTGCCGCCCCCCACGTGCACCCTCGTCATGCTGTGGCGACTACTTTCTGCACTAACGTGACCATCGTAGCGATGCCATGTACTGTGTGCAAGGGGTAATCTGCCGTGCTCGAGGCGACTGTGACCCGCGCATTGCACAAAGCTCACATACTCGAAATTCCCTTGGGTTATGCGTCTCGAGGTGTTTACTTGTCCAAACTTGGACATATGTGAAAGTCAGGCGTATTGATTGTGGACAGAATTTTGTCGCAACAATGATATTCTCCAACACATTGAGAATATACATTACCTAGAAGTAGTCAATCAATCATTGTTTTGAACGACACTTCAGCGAAAATGTCGTAGCTAGCTGCTAGGGATGAGTAGTCCCTGGCGTTGGGGGATGAGTCCCCGAAGGGGGGCAGCAGCATGGGCAGTGGTAGAGCCCAAACGTGTTGTATAATATACAGTGGACGATCCGTGTAGGTTCCAGATGCAAAAAGGACTTTGGACTAGCGTTTTCTGTTGACGTCGATAGCAGTAGTGAGCTATTGCATACGCTAACAACAGTTATGATGCCGTCGCGCATGATAGGAAGGCCGCAAAAAGTAGCAAAGGAATCGAACGAAACCACGATCGATTAAACTTGGTTCAATAAAATCTACTGGTAGTCGTGGCTACGTTAATCACTTGGATTCGTCCTCGTGCATCGGTGGCTCGGAGTATTGGTCGCCGATGGCTTCAGGCACGCACTGGGCGTAGCGCTTGGACTTGCCGCCCAACGGATTGCAGTTGGTGTCGATTCCGCAATCAAACGCAGTGTCATAGTCTGTCTCGCACAAACCCACCTCCATGCAGTAAAAGTCGCCGCCCAAAAATTCGCACTGGTCGTCCCAGTCGCAGCAGTCACCGTTCGTCTTGCCCGCACACCGCCCCTGCGAGCGCTGCGTGCCGCGGTTCTTTTCGTACGGACCAGCTTCGAGCGGGGGCTTGTTCGCATATTTCCCCTTATCTCCCCCTTCTTCTTCACCTTCTTCTTCTTCTTTGCCATCTTCACTTTTGCCATGTGCATACACCGGGAGGGCATTGGTGGTGCCAGGCCACGCACTGCGAGTAGTGGTCGTTATACTTGACGCACACGCCTTCCTTGCGGCACACCGTCGACTTGGTCTTTGCTTGAAAGGTCTTACCGCCACATTGCACATACGTCGGCAGTCCGTCGGCCGTCCCATCCAGTTGGCACTGCGAGTACCATGCGCTGATGCGCTCGCAGACATTGCCTACAATACACAGCGAGTCGCCATTGTACACCTTACCCCCACACTGCTGCCACACGGCGACGGAGCCAGTGGTGGTGTGGGCGTGGTTCGTTTTCGGCTGCTTGGGCTCGCACAAGGACAAGTACTCGTTCTTGCGGTTGTACTGGAAGGTGGGGTCGTTGCATCCCACGCCAAACGACCCGTTCTGGCCGTTGCATTGGCTCCACTTGGCACACGACAGTGGAACTGGGGGGCTGCTCGGCGTGACAATCGTGGTCGAACTAGCGGTGGCGTTCGACGAGTTGGTCGGCTTGGTTGTGGGCGTGGTAGTGAAGGCATGGGAAGTGGTTGTCTTCGGCAACGCAGTCGTCGTTGTGGTCGTCGAAGGAATCGAGGCCGTTGTCGTGGGGGATGGGGGTACAACGCCAAACACACAGCCGCGCACGCCTGACAGAATCTTCTGACACGTTGCATGCACGGGCCACCAACACCGTGAACTAGCGCCGACGCCTCTGCAATGAACACTGCTCTCCACACTACATGCAACCCCCCTACGGCCCATCGATACCATCAGCAAACGTCCACGTCGCATACAACTGTCAATGCCCCTAGCTAAGGGGACTAGTACAGTACTCGAAGCAATAAATTGTCTAAACTTGTGAGCAGTAAACCCAATCACATTCACGAGCTTTATTCTACAAGAAAATATTACTCATATATATATTAATCGGCGGGACCATGTCAATTGGATGGCGCAAAATTTTCTTGCTCGGCGCGGACAGTTTCAACTGTGTGGTTAACGTATCCCTGCGCGGTAGATGTGTGGTACGAGCATAATCATACCGAAGCCCTCTCCTCGACAAACCTACCCTAGTGTTTTGTCTCCCGCTTCTTCTTCGCTTTCGACCACGGGACCCTCGACAAGGTAGCAAATATAGCACTGACTCTAGTGAGGTTAAATACGCCACATGCGTCTACTAACATTCACTAAAGTACTCAGTACCTCCACAAGGTATCGGAATCTTTGACACGGTACACACAGAGTGTGTGTATTTAAAAGGGTCAAACTAACGCGCGACCCAATTGCTCTGCACACCGCAGAACATTTCCCCTCCTATCGAAATTCCATTGTCTTGATGAGGGCAGCCACAGCAGGGACTTCTTTGTTGGCCGCCACCCAGCCACTTCACCAAATTGGTGTTTGCTATCCACGCATAGCGCTTCGTCGAGGCGCTCCACATGAAATCCGCAATCGTCAAGTGCGATCTGCGCATCCAGGTCCTCGGTCACCTCTCTATCACATTTGTCGTACAACTTTAATCGGCACGCATGGTGGACTGTGACTGTGTACGGTGGCACCAGCTGCTGAATCTCCATCACATGGTCTGTGATGACTCTGGTCACTTAGCAAGGTCCGCGCTAATGCAGGGCCAATTTTGTCGGGCGGTCGACGACCGTTCCGAGAAGCACAAAATAGCTGACCGAAAAACCCGCAAACTTGACTTGGGATTTTCGGTCACTTGGTGCTGCTTCCCATCGCAACGTTGCGGTGCATTTCTTCAAGCGCCGCATGAAGTCGGTCACATGTTTTTGACCGGTGTCACCAAGCCAGTCTGCGACGTAAACTTCCTTGGACGTCAGGTGGGCAAATCATACCAGCGGGGTTTTCGCTGGCAGGCTGGTAAGCGCTGTCACATGCGCAAGTCGTCCCAGCCGGTCCGTCGGCTGTTGGTTGAGGGCGCCTTGAACTAGAGGCAATACATGCGGCAATTCGTCCGCGTTCAACTTCATCTCGCTGAACAGTGCTTTCACCGCGCAGCACTAGTCGGTTGACTACTTCTATCGTCCCGTTCGCTCAAGGACTGTAGGCTGTCGTGATGTGATGGTGGGCACCTACCAACTTCCGCACCTTCTCGATCACTTCGATCTTGAAGTGAGAGAGCCGCCATCTGACACCCATGTGTCAACGCTGCCGAACGTGGTAAACCACGTCATCAGGCACTGAGCGGTCGCGGCGGTATCTGCACAAAGCCATTCATGTCGTCTTTCATGACAAGCACTTGTTTTTGGCCAGACTTGGCCATGGGTATCGACAACCAGTCGAAGTGGATGAGCTCATTTGGCTTCTCCGCGTGAAGCGCCGAACCCCATGGATGGGTAACCATGTCTCCGTAAATGCACAGGTAGTTCAAACAGGCACGCACGCACGAACGCTTCGACGTCCGTGGAAAGCGTCTTCCACACGATCTTGTCGGACACCAACTTGGTCGCTGCGATATGACGGTGACCGCTGGCTCCTTGGTGAGCGATCACACAAATTCGCTGCTATAGGTCCACAGCACCATCTGGGATCTAGATTCGTCCGTCTGGGTCCACATAAAAATTGGTCCCTCCCCCTTCCATGGTTGAACGTTGGATGCCGCAGATCGTAGCGGCTGTCGGCCACTCGAAATCAACTACTCGCAACTGGTTGATCCATCGGAGCCGAACCCCATCGACTCAGGAGGTCGCCCCAGACATTCGCGTCACCCGAGACGCACTCAATGGTGTACAGGAAGGTCTACATCACCAGCGACCATCGCTGCAGCTTGTCGGCCTGGTACTTGACCATGTTGGCATTCAAGCCACTTGGGTTGAAAATGTACACCAGGTTGCGGTGATCCGTAAACAGACGGAAATGACCCGGGCGTAAGACCAGGTAGTTGAGTCTCTTGCACGACTCGACCACGGCATAGGCCTCCTTCTCGACAATGGGCCAGCGCGCGCTCGCGCCAGAAAACGACCCACTAATAAACGCAAGCGGCTGGTGCCGCTGGTCTTCGAGAGGCAAGTCGATGTCTGCTGGCGGTACTTGTGTGGTAACCGCGCCCCAGAACAGGTCACTGGCGTCCGCGAAGGTGCAGACCGTCATGTTTTCTCGCGGGTGCGACAGGGGCACCTCATGCGCCAACGCATGTTCACATCATTGAAACACTTGATATGGTCGGACGACCATCCCACGGCAGGGAGTGCAACGCGCACTAACGCCTTTTTCTTGCAGCTTCCGGCTGCCTTGGTGACCACGTCAAGCAGACGTCGCAACGGATCCACCAACCGGTTGTACCCAGGGATGCTCGCACGCATCCAGTTGGTGGCACACACAAACTGTTGGAGGTCGGCCGCGGTCGTCGGCGGCAACAAGTCCACGAGTCCTTGAATTCGGCTTGGGGAATGGGTGATTCCATCGACCGAAATCACCTTGTCTCACTATTCTGCAGAACGAAATGACACATCTTCGCTCAACTAGAGTCCGAACTGATGCCTGGACTTTGTCCAACAAGTCGAACAGCTCGTCCGTCGCCTTGGCGGGCCCCAGCACGTCATTCAGCCAGGCCAACAGGCCTCGGAACAGCAGTTCACCAAACATTTGGGGAACAACCGACTGGCAGTACGCGACGGCGTCCGTCTGTCCCATTAGCACACGGGTCGGGGTGTACAGCCGACGGGCGTCATGAACGAGAAGTGCATCTGGCTGTCCGCATGTAGCGGCAACTTCCAGTACCCCTTGGTCCAGTACACGTTCGTTTCGACCAGACACAAGCGGTCCACACGTCGTGTCCAGCGTCACGCAGTTCACCTTGACGCTGCGCGTCATCACAACTGGCTTGGCGTCGCTGCCCCACGCCAAATGCGGCACGCTATGGGAGTATGGGATACAATCCCAACTTCGACACCGGCTGGTCGCCGCGCGTTACAATGGTCACGTCCGAGCCAGAGTCCAGGAGCACATCGTCCACGCGGACGGTAATCTCCAACATCACGCCGCGCTCTGTCTTTTGGCGCTGCTATAGGTTGACCAGAACCTTGATGCCGTCATTCCATCGCTTCACTTACGCTGCTAACAGCGTTTCGGGTTCGCCAGGCGCGGTCTTAGGGCACTGCGCCAACCGGTGACTCATGTCACCGCACTTCAAGAAGCCCTTCTTGGCAAATGGCTCGGCATTCTTGGGCACGATCGTTTCAGCCTTTCCGCCGACTATGTCATTGCTCTTGGCGGCGTCTTCCCGGCCGCCTTCACGGCTTGGGATTTTGCGCTTGCCGCCTCGTGGAGCTTCTACCGGCTTCGCTGCCGGGGAAGGTTTGGACTCGTCGTTGAGTCCCACGTACAGCTGGTGGCCAGCTGCAAATGTTCGCAGCCAGTTGACGTAACGAAAGGCGTCGCTCTTCAACGTCTTGTTCCGCTGTAACTGCTTTTGAACCGCTGTCTTCAGCGATTCCGGCTTGATCGATTTCGTCATGACTTCGACGACCATCTTGCCTTCTTGGTGGAGTACACACTCCGGATGGTCTTGTTCCAACGAGCGCATCAGCTCGTCCAACATAAGACCGACGCGGGAATCTGCGTCAAGATCTTCGTATCGAAACGAATGGCTCGCTGCAGACGTCCTACGACTACATTTAATCCAACGCTGAATTCAGAATCACATTAATTCAATTTACGCCAAACTCAAAGAACTCAACCCAAGCGTTTCGCAATCACTTCCGCATTGATTGAATTGTAACCCCATTGCTGCCTGGAATAGTGTAAGCGATGTCGAACCCAATTCTTCCCGTAAAAAGATACGTTCTACGTAACGATAATACCAGTACCTCGACAACCAACGGATGTCTACGCATAGCTCACTGAAAATTGGACACAAAAGTTGGTGGGGGAAATAGGTAGTTACTTGTATGTAGATTAATGCTCCGAAGAACTTCGACGTATAAGGAACATTTGTAGTTGTTGAAATATATTTTTGTGTTCGTGTATGTCACTGCCACTAAGTCTAGCGAATTAAAAGCACTTCAAATAGAACAAGAGCATCCATCCGACAACGCTATGGAGTCACAATCAACGTTTACTCACATTGCTCATTGACATTGTCAAATCGATTCGAAATTGGAGTCACCAGCAGTACTTACTCGAATTACTAACCTGTAATGGTACAGCTTACATTGAATACAAGTACTGTTTACCAACACTACTACTACAGTAAGGGGAATAGGATAAAAACTTGTGGCCATTTGACTTTTTACTGGTGGTCACCGAAAATGTCATGTGTTGGTGTTTTGCTCGTGGTTAAACTGTGGAACTTCACCAGAACTGCTTAGGCATATCTAGCTAACCTCATGCGTATCGACGCGTAGGCATTCGAACGGTATGGTATGACCAGCACTACTGCTCACAAAGTAAAATTCTAACACGGTTACCTTCGCAAAGATATAGGGCCCACGGCTTGTTTTACGGTTACCTTCGCAAAGATATAGGGCCTACGGCTTGTTTTACGTTAGCTATGATGGAGTGATATTACACTTACTGGGCTGCACGACTATGAAGCAACAACCCAGCAATGCCCAATAAGTAAAACTCGACCACACCACTTAACCACGAATGAAGCCCCACGTCTAACTCTACCTGAAAGACAGCCAACAATTGTCCACTTTCACCTACCACATTCAACACGCTCTCGGGCACGGGAAATGCTTCATTGCTGTGAACGACCCGCGTGCTAACCCCGAGTATGTCCCCGCACTAAATGACGACACAGCACATCGTAGCGGTGGCGTCGCCCTGGTCTTTGACGACATAGTCCCAAGCTTCCAAGACCTCCGGTATCTGACCAAGCTCGACGTCTCCTACAAATACATGGTGGTCAATACCCATTGACAGGAGACCCCTGTATACTTCAACTTCGTCTATGCGCCTGTTCAACCAACTTTTACGACAGTCTACCACGCAGCATACACGTAGTCATGGGAGATCTCAACCTACCATTGGACCTGTACCATGACGCGGACAAACCGCACCACGTACATACCATGGGGTGAATCAACTGTCTGGAGTGGCTTGTGGCCCTACGTGTGACCGACGCTTGGCGCATGCATCACGATGAGGGTCGTACCTATTCGGGGCCACACAAAACGACCCGCTTAGACTATATCCTTGCCAAAACACACCTTGGCCGAGACTGCTACGTCTCTAGCGACTACAAACGGTCGGACTCACACGTAGCTGGTGACCATGCGATCCACACGCTCGTGCTAGAGGACACATCAAACGATGGGGAAAGGATATTGGAAATTGCCCAAAGAATTCCTACAGTACCCTCAGATGCGAGAGGCCATCGCGACTGAGGCTTCACGACTCCTCGTCGTCCTTTGCGACGCACAAAACCCAGGCGTTGTGTGGCATGCTTGGAAGAAATGTACACGGCGGTTCCTCCAGGAAGCCCATCGCCATGTCAAATCGCATTTTTCACGAGAAAAGACTGCCTCCGCCGCACGCTTGGCAGAAGCGCGGCGCCTACACATCGAGGGGTTGTCAAATCTCCAAGATATCGACGAGGAGGAGAAAATCTTTCTCGAATCAGAGGTTTTGTGGAAATTGTACTATTCTGACTTCAACTTTGACGTCCACGCGAGCAAGAATGAGCGCCCCACGACCCATTTCTTCCGTCCACCGACCAAAGTCCTCTACAAAACTCCCGTAAGATAAGTGAAACAACGCGATGGAACGTTGTCGTCAGCCCCAGACATCATCCAAAAAGAATTCGTCGCCCACTGGACGGGTGTTATGCGTGAGGATATGACCCCTCTCCTCCAAATTAAGCCACTCGCCGTTGTTTCCTTCGTGTTCAACGGAGAAAATTAATAGTCGAGGATAAGAATACCCTTGAGGAGGACGTTACCGGGACAGACCTTCAGACCAGCATCGCAACCATGGCTCCACACCGCACACCAGGTCCCGACGAGTTTTCTGCCTGCTTCTACCAGGTGGCACCAGCGGTGTTTGGTGAGATCCTGGCTATCGTTTTCAACTACCAGTTGACCCGAGATACATTATTGAAATGCCAATGTACCAGTGAGGTCGTGTTGCTGTTCAAGAAGAACGACCGTGCATACCCTGGCAATCACAGGCTGATTAGCTTCATGCCTGTGGAGGTCAAGATCCTCTGCCGAGCTTTAGCTTACCGCTTGTCCGCGCTGCTTCCCAAACTGATCCTGCCAGCCCAAAAAGGCTTCGTTTCTGGCCGGCGCCTACACGACCACACAGTGTTCATGCTGGACCTACAACACACATGCACAGTCAGGAACCAGGAGGGATATGCAGCCTTCCTTGACTTTGCTAAGGCCTACGACCGCGTCTCGTGGGACTACATGTTCGACACGCTTGACGCATTCGGCTTTGGACCTAAGTTCATGGCGTGGATCAGGCTGCTTTACACAAATCCCCTGGTGCACTTACGCATAAACGGGGTCAAGTCGGTGCCGATTCATCCAAATCGCGGGGTAAAGCAGGGCGACCCGCTGCAGGAGTTAGTTTAGCGGCTCTTGACGCTCGAGCCGCTAGACTAACTCCTGCACGACAATGAGGAGTATGGAATAGAGCTCACGCAAGAACATACCGCAACGACGCTAATGTTTGCTGATGACACGACCCTGTTGGCTGGGCGTATTTGCCACCTATAGGAGCAACTGGAGTTAGTCAACCAGTACTGCGCGGCATCTGGAGAACATCGAGAAAACGGTCATTCTAGTGCTGAACTCGAATCAACCAATACCGGGCAGCATCGGGTCGACCGATCCGCTACCTTGGGATAATGCTGGGCCACAACCTTGCAGCAGGATATCAGGTCAATCGACTGACAGATTAGCTATATGACGCCATTCGCACCTGGAGTTGGCGTGAGAGCATGGTACAAGGGCGGCGCCTGTTGGTCCAGTCGGTAATTCTTCCAACTCTATGGCATTTCACGGCGGTCATCGTCGTGCCGCCTAAATAACTTGGGCCCTGGCAGTCACTGGTGAATATATTCATCCAGAATAGGGCAGCAGACCCTACCAAATGCTCCATATATCTGATGCAAGCGGCACATCAGTACGACCGGTTAGCTAGGTGGAGAGTACCTCACCTCCCGTCGATCATCGCATCGCAACGCCTGGCACGCATGCGTCTCCTGCTTCGGTCACCTACCGAAACAGACAACATGTGGGCATGTCTTGCACATGAGATGTTTGATGCAGCACTCGAACCGTGTAATCGACCAGGCCGGTTCGACTTTCTCCACTTCCGCCCAAACCCCAGCAGCTCTGCCGCGCGCATTGCTAAAGTATCACCACTTTGGAACGACGTATGGAAAACATGGCATCGTCTACCTGCGGATAAACGGAGCCAATCAAAACCTACCTTAGCGCAACTATGTGAGATGCCGGTCTGGCGCCAATTCAATCCGCTATTCCGCGTCCCATCACATGAGAATGACCCGCACATCACCCTACATACGTCCTTCCGCCATAAAGGCAAGGAGTGGTACGAGCACATCGGGATTCCACTGTCTGAGGGATTTTCTTACCCAGGCGCGCACGTGGGCAACGGCAGACGAGTTCGACAACATCGTGGTCCCTGCAATACGACGGATAGAGTATGATGGTCCTGTACCATACTCGCTGGTTCCTGTCTACCACCGACTCACCACTATTGCACATCAAGATTTGATTACACAGGACATGATGCACACCTACCGGTCCAAGCGGAAGTTCCTTGGTGTCTCCCATTCTACGCTGCTACAAGGACACTTTCACAGAAGTTCGTGAATGGTCTCCAAGGCAAAATAAACTGGTTTTCTTCTATCCACCTAAACCCACCCGCAACCACCCCATGCTGCGTACGCATGTAATTCATTATTCGAAGTACCTCCAGCTCTTCCACCGTGTTGTCGCTGTTGCAACCCATCTCCAAGCCGACGTGTGGAACCGAGCGCAGTACCGAGTGCTACCAGTTGGCTACTGTTTCTACCATATGCAGCTAGTCCGTACCATGACTGCGACGCGGTCGAAACCATTCAGCATGCCCTGATGGCTTGCCCTCGGATCCGGCCATTATGGGATGTTATTGCAGCGCCATTGCTACAATTTGGGTTGAGGTTTGAATGGACTCACATTCTTAACCATGCACCTGAATGGATCCATGTAGCCCCTATGCTCGTGGTTCTCTGGACGATCACAGCAGGCGTGATGCGGCCTCTCTGGATCTATCTTAACAAAGTCAAATACGAAGGTACCGCTCATACCTCTGTCCCTGCCATGCTGGAGCTCGTCTTCTTGTAGTGGTCTATGCAAGTCCGTCGGCATCTACAGCTTCCAACGACGCAGGACGACGAGCAAACCCAAATCCAGACTGTCCTGCGCCATCTTGGTCAACATTCATTTACCACGGTTTCTGATCAAAATATCCCATGCACTTTTCGGTTAATCCGCTACTTCGGTGGTTACCGTTCAGGTGATACCACACTATTTATTGGTATTTAGGAACAAATACTGTACAGACGTTGAATCCAAGGTTGATAGATGTCAAATACACCCTGATGTACAGTGAGCTAGGGAGGACCCCATAGCTATATGTTACAGGTAAAGTCTCATGTTCATGAGTTTTGCCATGTGGATTTTGCGGCCCCAGCGCTACAGTGAACCGTGGGTGAACTCGCCCACAGTAGTACAATTGACATTTTATTTATTGGTGCCAACTGATCCGATGTCAAATTACAATGCACTTTTAGCCAATCATGGATAGAACGATGGACAGCACATATTGGAGGGAATGCAGCCAAGAAAACCCTCCAATTGGTCAGTTCAAATAAAGCCCATGTACGAAATTCAAACTTGATTCCATGCCAGTGGGGACACAACCGCGACGACCAAGGCGCAAGCAAAGGCGAAAGCCGATGTTGAAGCCGTACCGACGCACAACACTTCTCCCCAAAAGGAAACAACAACAGTACTGTATCGGCACAATACAGACACTTCTGCGGAAACATTTTGATCTCGGTCCATGCTGCAGCGACCGCCAATTCGCGCGGCAGGAACACATTCCGATAGGAACCCTTCGCGGGTGGCTCAAACGTAAGGACGAGTACCTGGAGGCAGTGAAACGGGGCAGCAACACGACACTAGACGCACATGGCCAACTGGAAACGTTCAGCTTTGGCGCCGACCTCGTCCAATTCATGGACAGCGTCCGTGATATCGAAAAGTTCCTGACCACTGCCCACGTCGTGACATGGCTTAAGACCCACCAGAAGCCGTGGCTGGATGCGTTCCTGGAAGGCAAGCCAGACCAGGATCGAGCGTACAAGGGTCTGCTTGGGTGGTGTCAAGCTTTCGCCCACCGACACGGCTTCTCCCAGCGGGTACCGTGCGCGTCGAAGAAGACGCAAGCTGAGCTCCAAGCAACGCGTGCCGAGTACGCCAAGGTGTTCTGGCCAAAGCACGCCGCATACGACCCGGCCAACATCATCAACATCGACGAGACAGGAGTTCATTACGACATGCCACCTCGACGCACGTGGGCTCGAATCGGCAAGTCGTCCAAGGTGGACAAACAGCAGAAGCACTCGAACCGTGTGACAGCAGTGCTGGCTGTCCGAGCAGACGGTATGTTTGCGTCGTGGACGTGTGCTTACGTACTATGTAGAACGGAAGTTGCCGCCTATGGTCATTGTCCACGGGCAGCCTGACGGCGGTCCGGTCGATCAGAAAGAACTGCCGACGTATCCCCGAGGGGCTGTCTATGCGGTGCAAGAAAACGCGTGGATGGACGAGCGGGTGTGGGAGATCTACCTCCGTGAGTTGCTGCAATTCGAGATCGAAGCGCCATCGGTGGTTGTTGTGGACAACTTGGCAGCCCACGTGACTCCTGGGGCCATTCAGATTGTCCAGGAGGAGCTGTTCAGTGTGGTGGAAGAGCTTCCTGCCAACTCGACGTGTACGTGCCAGCCACTTGATGTGGGTGTCATGGGTCAGTTCAAGGTGAAGTGTCGTACTGAGTGGATTCACGAGACCAAGGTGACATCAGCTGCTGAAAAGACGTTGGTCATGGTGCAACGAATCCTAAAAGTATGGGAAGCTATTCCATCGGCGATGATTACACGTTCGTTTGATAAGGCTATCCCTCGTGAAGAGCTGTAATAAACTGCTGTGGTTGTGTGTTCGTCCATGGAGGTTTCCCGGGTATAAACCCCCTCCTGACAGTGAATCCAATGGAATCGTCCACTTGGTGGGACATCTTGTCTAACACGTTACACTCATGCGTGATTGGCTTAATTTATCGGTCCCACTCAGTACCTCACCGCTTTGAAACAATTTATTATTCTGCAACTGTCTTGCACTACCATACAATTCCGTAGATATGCGCAATGGCAACTGTGGGCGAGTTCACCCACGGTTCACTGTATGCTCTTTTACGCCATTTCCCGTTCAAGTTGAAATGAATTTCCAATCAATGTGAAATGAACACGTTCGAAACACGACGATTTTCAAATCAACATGAATTCTTTAACATTCAACTTGAAATAAACTTTGTTTCATATATATTCTGCTGTATGATTTGGATAAAGGACGAAGATGGGTGACGGAGAGTAGACATGATGATTGAATCACTATTGTGTAGTGAAAGGTAGTATAATTCATCACCTTATGGTCACTATACTATAGTTGAAGTAAGTTTAGGGAGCGTCTGGTAATATTTCAAAAATAATATTCAATATTCTCGCAAAATGGGATTAACCAAAATGCAATTTTCAAAATGGAGGTAAAAGGTCCATTTTGTAAGGTGACCAAATTTTCGAAATATTAATTGGACAAAATCAAATTAATTACCTTAATTAGTGAGTTCGAGCTGTGAATAAGGTAAAATCCGCAAGCCACATGTACTTGGTTAAGGTACTAAATTGTTGTCGTCGGGGGGGTCAAATGCGGCAAGAACACTTGCTTTCGTGCCACATGTTTTTTCGAGTTTGGAATGGCCGCGAGCTCAATTTCAATTACTTTGCGTTCTGTAGCAACACTTCCCGAGGGTTGCAGTTCGACAAGAGGCAGTTACTTCATCGTTCTTAGCTTGTTTAACACGATGATGTCCTTGCCGCCGGCGTTGAGTCGGCCTCGTGGAAGTGCACGACGACCACCGCGGCGGCGTTGCCGTCCGTTTATTCGCCGTCTCTTGTACCTCACGGTAAATTCGTTTCCCTATCGCCGCACAACTTTCTTCCACCGTGCTGTTTGGGGTAACTTAAACAACGGACGAATCGCGTGTGCGCACACATCATCGACCTGCAACCGAAAGTTTGAGTGACCTACATTCTCGTTTTTCAATTTGCATTGTTCGACGCACTTCGATTTTCCGCACATGTGCCAGCCACAGAAATGCGGCCTATTAGGCCATTCCCTGTCCCCCTTCCCTTAACCCTACCCCGTAGGGCCGACCCCCGGGGTATAGCTACTACACATAGCAAAAAAACTCGATTTTTTTGGCCTTGACTTGAAATTGCTTCTTTTTGTTCGAGCTCCTTGGCATTGATGACAATCACGCGCGTCCGTGAGGCCGTGTTTTTTGCCGTTTGGGTGGTACAATTGTTCGGTGGATGATGATGGGATGGCAATGTTATCTGCGTTTACCTCTACTTTGACAGGCGACGGAGTGGCAACCTTAGAGCCTATTCCGTGCCTGTTTGCGTCGGCAAGACTCCTCGACCATCGAGGCGGATGTTCTGCCGGTGGAGGTCGCCGAAGTGTGTGGGCGACCTTTTGTTATGATGGGGCTCCCTTTATATTTATATATTTATATATCTGTGTATATTTATATATTTATATATGCCAAATTAATGGAACCATAGTTGCCATCCGGTTATTTGAGATGACGACGGTTGTAGTCTTTGAATTTCGTTTAATAAATGGCTAGTTGACCTAGTCCCCCCTCGTTGAATTCGCACTTCTAGTTGACCTACTGCCCAAGTCTTCAACATGGGTCGCTACAAAGGTCGGGCATACCATGATGATGATGCAGCCTGGTGCCAAATGTGCGCCACTTCGGCACCTTTACGAAACTCCCAGAGGCACACGACACAATTCTTCGTGCATATGACTTCCACTGGCTGAAGGTTAATTCTGTGATGTTGTACGTCTTGGCAAACAGCCTGTCGCTTGAAACGGCCATTTTGCGAGGAAAAAGCTTGAATGTAAAAAGCAGCACTTTTTCCTGTGGAATTTTCTCGAAATTCTTGGAGGAGTACCGAAGGAGTGGATGGCTCGTAGATGGCCGAGGAATACGCAAAACCAAAGCCCAAATTTTGGGTAAAAGGACAGCACGAACCTTTGCCGGCGGTGGCGACGGCAAAGGTAAGATGCGTTTAAACGAATTTATATTATTTCATACAAAGATGAAGCTTCATTAATAAAATTGGACTTAACGTAAAAAACCAATTTAAGATAACTTTTTTGGAGGTCGGAGTAGAATGGATATAACTTTTGAGTCCGTTACGATATTTGAGTTTTCAATAGTGATTCCAATAGACAAGACGCGCCTCTTTCAGTTCATAATCGAATCATCAGTTTAGGCGATGAACTTCACAGGTAAATTTGTTACTTTCTAAGCATTTGTACTCACATTTTGATAACCAATTTAGGATAACTTTTTTTATCTTAAAGTATGTATGTGTTTGAGCATTGAAATTCTGTGTTTAGGGAAAGCGGTTAGAACAGGTTGCATATAATTTATACAAGGGTACTGTTTTATAGAGTTAAATTTCTGTTGTGGATGGATGTCCACCGAGTTTAACACTCGACAAAACCTCAGATCCAACCCAATGTGGCCCGTGTCGACTAGGGAACTTCAACCCAATCTTGAATGACTATTACCAATGGCTTCTACGCCGTTTTTGCATTTCATTCACGTGACGGAATGGCCAGCATTATATGATAGAGGTTTTGACTCGAACAAATAACGAGGTGTGATTGGGCAATACAAAATTATCCTAAATTGGTTAAGTTATCTTAAATTGGTTTTTTACGTTATTGTGGTTCCTTGGCAAG